GGTCCGCTCTGCCGGCTCCATCACCGATCCACAGGCTGGCGTTTGCTGCAGCCCCCCGAGGCCCATCTGGAGGGGTGGGGTCTCCGCGGGGTGGTGCTCACCTCTTGGCCCCCCTGCAGGGAGATTTAGGAGGGAGCTGGTGCCACCTGGCGATGGGAGGTAGGGGGAGCCCTGCATGGACACGCAGGGCTCTCCCCATGTGCCCCAGGAGCAGTAGCACCCCCTGGGGGTGCCTGTCCCTGGTGCTGGGCTCCCCCGAGGCCCATCTGGAGGGGTGGGGTCTCCGCGGGGTGGTGCTCACCTCTTGGCCCCCCTGCAGGGAGATTTAGGAGGGAGCTGGTGCCACCTGGCGATGGGAGGTAGGGGGAGCCCTGCATGGACACGCAGGGCTCTCCCCATGTGCCCCAGGAGCAGTAGCACCCCCTGGGGGTGCCTGTCCCTGGTGCTGGGCTGTTCCCACTGCCCTGACTGGCCCCTTTCCCCAGCCGACGACAACGCCACCATCCGGGTCACCAACCTGTCGGAGGACACGCGGGAAACCGACCTGCAGGAGCTGTTCCGCCCCTTCGGCTCCATCTCCAGGATCTACCTGGCCAAGGACAAGACCACGGGACAGTCCAAGGTGAGGGCTGGGGCAGGGGCAGAGCCAGGCTGTCCCCCACAGCTCCCTGGGGCCTGAAGCGAGCTCACCTCCTGCTTCCTCCCCAGGGCTTCGCCTTCATCAGCTTCCACCGCCGAGAGGATGCTGCCCGGGCCATAGCCGGTGTCTCCGGCTTCGGCTACGACCACCTGATCCTCAGCGTGGAGTGGGCCAAGTGAGTGCTGGGTGTGGGCTGCCCGCGGGGGCGGGGGAGCATGGTGTGTGCGCGTGCGTGTACAGGCCTCCCATTCTAATCCCCCCTCTCCCCCACACAGACCCTCCACCAACTGAGGCCGGCGCCTGCCTGCAGCTCCCGGAAGGGCTGACACCGTTTGGGGACTCGGTCGCTAATAAAGATTCATCCCAGCCGGGCGTGTGGGAGACTCATTTCCTCCGGGGCCTCCCACCCTGCTCTGCCTGCTGGGCAGGGCCCTGTGAGCTGGCGGGAAGCGGGGGCGAGCCCCCGTGCCCTGCTTGTGTCAGGAGGGCGGGCCACAGACACGGAACCCCAGCCGCTGCGGGGGAGGCGGCCAGAGAGCAGGCGACTCGGAGCAGCTGGCTGATGCTTCGCTTTAATGACTGAGCTGGCAGGAGACCACCCCCAGGCAGGGCCGTCCCGGGGCCTAGAGTGCTCTAGCCACAGCTAGTCCCTGAGCCTGGCGCTCGGGCGGCTCAGCCCCAGGCGGCCGGGGGCGGGCGCTGCACCAGCCCCACATGCTGTTGGCCAGGGCAGTGTAGAGCAGCGGGTGGGCACAGATGTTGAGGGTGACCAGGACCTTGCTGAGCTGGTAGGCCGTGTGGATGTTGAGCGAGCCGGAGTCAGGGCTGCAGAGCTTCCGGCGCCGGTCCAGGTTGAGGTTGCGCAGGACATGGTAGGGCAGGTAGGACACCGCGTAGAGGGCCAGCCCCATGCTCCCCAGCC